AGTGACGTGGTTTTAATTAATGAATGACACATTTATTTATTTAATTCCACATTTAATTAATTATTGACACATTTAATTATTTATTTAATGCTGTATTTATTTATTTAGTGACGTGGTTTTAATTAATGAATGACACATTTATTTATTTAATTCCACATTTAATTAATTATTGACACATTTAATTATTTATTTAATGCTGTATTTATTTATTTAGTGACGTGGTTTTAATTAATGAATGACACATTTATTTATTTAATTCCACATTTAATTAATTATTGACACATTTAATTATTTATTTAATGCTGTATTTATTTATTTAATTTTGGCACTTTTTATCCTCCATAGATTTCAGTTAGTTCATGGAATAAAATAATAACCTGAAACAGCCTTAACATGGTAAACTGATTAGTGTTTGTTGTTGTAATACTGCAACTTTTAAAAGGTATGTTGAACAGAATCAAGATGTAAGAACAGATGGTGTTTATATCTTCTGCCAGGATTAAGGCGATCGAAAGTGCAACAAAAGATGATGATACGAAGTGGCTGACCTACTGGGTGGTCTATGGACTCTTCAGTGTGGCAGAGTTTTTTGCTGATATCTTCCTCTCCTGGTTCCCTTTCTACTACATTGGAAAGGTGATTCAATGACTTGCATAATTTCCTTTTTTTTTTTTAACTCATCGTTCACATATAAATCTAGCTGTTCATTATCCAATCATCTTTGTTTTCAGTGTTCCTTCCTTGTGTGGTGCATGGCTCCTACTCCTTCTAATGGATCAATCATGATCTACCAACGGATCATTCGACCGCTGTTCCTTAAGAATGAGGCCAAGATTGACGATGCAGTGAAAAACATCAAGGACAAAGCATCAGAGGCAGCCGACAAATTTAGAGATGAGGGTATGGATATTAATTCTTCTTTTGCCATAAAAATAGTTGCTGTCTTGTTACTCTTTAGTGTTGTTATAGTTCCTCTTGATGGGTAGGCTGTAACCAGGGCCGGCGATTGCTATAGGCGAGATAGGCAATTGCCTAGGGCGACAAATGTGTTGGGGGCGCCCTCTAGCGTCGCCCTTAGGCTTACTTCCCATTAATCATAGAATTAGAAAAAAAAGCGAATTAAACCGGTTATGAAGCGTCCGTCAGTTTGACTTAACCTTACGTATATATAAATAGTAAAATATGAACAAATAAATATCCCACCGTTTTTTTATTTTTTCACATTTAAGAGAAAATCGGAGAAGATTCTGATCACTTTTCAAGCGCCCTCCAACCCGGAAGTCGTGACGTCAATCACTGCAGCACGTACACCAATATTTTGGAATGAAATTGTAAGCAAACAGATATTAAAAGTAAGTCTGGCACTTAACTTTGCTCGCGACTCGAGGATGGCTGAAAGGAAAAGACTCCCCTCTCCTCCTCCAGCTGCTGCCGCAGTCGGCCCGTCTTAATCATCCACTCAGAGTACCACTGGTAAGCGCACACAGACTTTGTAGCTTGTCCGGTCAGTTAAAAATATTAA